TGTCCCGCCCCAGGAACCGCACAACGGCTCCACCACCACACGAAATAGCAGCCACCAACCGGAATTGACGAGCAATCGCCGGAAGAAGAAAACCCCTTCGCGGCCGAAAATAGTCGGAGCCATGGAAAACGGGCAGTGGAGCGGTAAAGAAGGGGCGGGAACCAGACAATTGGGGGCCAGCAACCTCCGGCTAAGATTGATGCCGGTAGAGGAGGGCGAATTAGCTGCAAAAAGAGAGACGCCGACGTGGGATTTTTTCGAAGGGGGAGGGTTTTTTTTATTCTATATTGAATTAATATTTAATTTAATAAAATATATATATTAATTATTTATTTTTTCCGCAGTTTTTTTTATAAAATATATCAATAATATATATATTAATTTGTAATTAATATATATATATATTAAATTAATATATATTAAATTATATATATAAATTATTTGTACATATAAATTAATTTGTATATTTCTTTTAATTTTTGTGGTTTTTAATTTTTGTTAATTAAAAAATTTTGAAATATTAAAAATATAATTAAATAATATCATATATATTATTATATATTTTATAATAAATTAAAAAAACATTATGTTTGATTAATAATTAAAATATATTAATAATTTAAATTAATATATATGAATGTATAATAATATATATGAAATTATATATTAATAATTTCATGTATGTTATTATACATTCATATATGTGAATATATATTATATCAAATTAATAAAATTAATATATATTTTATATAAATATATATTAAAAATATAATATATTATATAATTAATATATATTAAAAAATACAATATATTATATTATATATATTATATTAGTATAATTATTATAAATTTTGATAGAATAATTATTATAAATTATGAAAAAAAGTATATTAGTATAAATTATATTAGTATATAAAATTATATGTTATTAATTAACTTAATTATTATAAATAATAATAGTATAAGATATAATTAATTATTATAGAAAAAATTATATTAGTATAAATTATTACGATATAGATTAGAATTGAGTAACTTATAAAGTAAAATTTATGGATATTGTGTTAGAAGTTAGAATTATTGTGTTATATATTATGATTAATTATCTTATAAAATAAAATGTATTAATAATATGTTAGAAATTATTGTGTTATAGATTAGTATTGATTATCTTATGAAGTATAATGTATTGATATTATGTTAAAAGTTGAAAATTATTTTGTTATTGATTATAATAAATTATCATATGAAGTAGAATTTATTGATATTATGTTAGAAGTTAGAATTGATTATATAATAAATTACATATTATGTTTGTGATTGATGACATTCATTATATTATTAATATATTATGATACTCGGCCGAGTGTATACGTTAATTTCGAGTTATGTTGTTATGCACTTGATGAGGATAAAATGAACTAACAACAAATACAGTTAAAAAAAATGATATTAGTATAATTAGTATAAATTATATTATCATAAATTAGAAAATGATACTTGTTTGAAAAATTATATTAGTATAAACTATTATGTTATATATTGGAATTGATATTATCTTATAAATTTGAATTTATTACTATTATGTTAGAAGTTAGAAATTATTGTATTATACATTAGAATTGATTATCTTATAAATTAAAATTTATTACTACTATTCCAGAGGAAGCTATCGAGCGGGCAAAAAAAAAATTGGAATTATATGTGGTTTCGAATTGATCATCTCGAAACAAAAAAAAAAGAAGGAAAGAAGAGGGTTTTTAGGTGTCACCGAGGGGAATATTACAAAGGTAGTATAGAAGATTTAGCTAAGGCTGTTGTGAAACGTTCGAAAATAGAAGCGACCAACTGCCTTTTTGAGATAAAAGTCAAATTGAAGGCATGCTCTACAATGACTGTGTATGCCGAGGGTCTTCGATACATAAGTGGACTTAGCGCTTCATCTAAAGAGATGGTCCGTGATATGACTACTGCTCAGGCAAAATCGGCAATAGTTTTGGCTGCGATTCAGGAGAAAAACCCGGTAGACAACGCTACAGACAATTATACGCTCCTTTTTACTTCAATGGGATCAACGTTGTACTCGATCGAATAAGATGGGACGGGGGCGCTTGATTTATTATGATATTCGATC